TATTTATAGCCAAGATAAATTTAGAAAAATGGAAGCCCAGCTTTCTGAAGCAAAGGCTTGGCATAATTGTTTACTGTTGAGAGATTAAAATGGCCCACTCTCTAAACCTCCCTAGCTGGGCAAGGCCTTTCAAGATGGACCATAGCTGACCGCTAGCATCAACAGGCCATTGCCTTATGGACCAAGACTTCTATTCTCCTCATATCCCAAGCCAAGAAATTTCCTTTTGAACAGGTCGAGGAGGGCATTCGGGTAAGCAAGAGAGAGAGAAATAACCGAAGACATTCCCTGCCAGCAATGTTTGGAAGGCTGGTTGTTGAGTTGCTGAAGGAATATAGAGTCATTCGACTTCAAGAGGGTTAGATTCAGAAAGAGTTAAAGTAGCTGACGACAATCCAGGATTGGGGGAGAAACCCAAAACACACGATAATCGAAAGCCGAGGAGCCAAAATCTGTTTTTAGTTTTAGAGCCCTGCTGGCACAGTGGTTAGAATGCAGCATTGCGGACGAATTCTGCCAACTGCCAGCAGTTCAATCCTGACCTTCTTAAGGTTGAACTCAGCCTTCCATCCTTCCGAGGTCAGTAAAATGAGGACCCAGATTGTTGGGGGCCATAGATAGATCCGGTAAACTACTCAGAGAGGGCTGTAAAGCACTACATGAAGCGGTATATAAGTCTAAATGCTATTATTTGCAAGAGGGGGCATCCTCCGCTTCTCCAGTGTGACTCCAGAGCAGTGTTTCTCAACCTTGATGGTGTGACTTCAGCTTCCAGACTTCTCCAGCAAGCTACTCCTTCCCATTTACAGGCTCATGAGAAAGTTTAGATCTATCAGAAGGCATCAGATGCTATGGAGCAACAATGGGAAAAGCTGAGAGGCGACGTGTCTTACCGGTGAGCTTTCTGAAGCCATCTGAGGAGCTATTTCGGAAAGCAGAAAAAAGGCTAAGCGGGCTTTAGTTTACCCCAACAGGCTCTTAACACTCTTCCTAGCCATTACTAAGATCCACAGGAGCTATCAATCCAAGGATGTCATCTGTCTCTCGATGCAACAGGCCCAAAGGACACAGTTGGACGAACATCTCGCCCAGCTACCATGCATAACCGATCGGCTTTCAATGAGAAGATAACACGCCTGTCAATTCTGCACCCCAGGAGCTTTTGAGGGGTTCATTCCAGCAACTTGCCAAGGGCAAAATTAGGGTGTGTAGCAATAAAAAGGCCCTTGGATGATTGGCCAACTCAACGGCCCCTATGCGGAAGAGCCCCATTAGCATCTCCTCCCAAGTGCAGGTGGGTTTGGGAGATGCGATCTAAGTCGCTTCCTTTCCGCTTGATTGACCTCGGGGACAGAGAGCTTCAGATGCCTACAATCACCTGATGAAAAAGGATAATGAACAGTAAAAGTCTTTTCACCCATGAAATTGCTCTCCCCGTTCTCCTTTTCCTTGGGAAACTTCAAGACCTACCCTTAGATTACAAATGAGAGTGAACGAGCTGACTAGCATGGCGATGCTCGATATTTTTTTTTATAAGCAAGCCAGGCCAACCATTTGAAACGATCTGCCTCACCATTGATCTCCTGATCTCCCCCAAAGGATTCCTCTCCCACAAAAGGAGCTTTGCTCTTTCAGGACTTCTGAGATCTACTCTTGAGGCTGAATGGAACTGGGGACAGTTGGGAGAGAGGCAGATCGCCCACTGCCCAAGGGAATCGCCCCAACATTTTGCTCTCCTTGGGAAGAAGGAATCCGGAAAGTATTTTTGATGCCCATAAACACGAGGATCCCAAACTCACAAACACAACTAGAATAGAATAGAATGAATTACTTGGAAGGGACCTTGGAGGTCTTCTAGTCCAGCCCCCTGCTCAAGCAGGAGAACCTATAATATTTGAGATAAGTGACTCTTTAGACCAGAGGTCTAAACTCAAGGCCAGGGGGTCAGATCCAGCCAATGGGGTGCTTTCATTTGGCCCATGGGACCACCTTGGAAACAGCGAAGGACTGGTCTGCTGTGCTTCTGCCAATGAAAACGGAGCTCGGGAGGACTGCAGGAGGCCGTTGCAGCCAAAAACAGAGACTGGGAGCCCATTTTTACTGGCAGAATGCTCATGCCACCACAGGCACCCCTGACACAAGTTATGTGCAGCTGGCCATGACCACCTGTGGCATTCCCCACCCCACCCCGAGGTCAAACACAACCCTGATGCAGCCCTCAATGAAATCACGTTTGACAGACCTGGGGCGTGGCACAAAGGCAACACAGTCAGATAATCAGTAGGGGTCCCTTTATTATCTCCAACTTTGCCCCCAATGTCCAGGTTACCTTCGGCTGGAGAAAATCTCTCCCAGGAACAGTCTTTAACAGTAGAAAATTCAGTCCAAAACAAGGTACACACAAACTGTAACTTAAAATCCAAACAAACCAAACTAAAGTAATTAGTTTGGCAGGGCAGGAGAAGGAATTTCAGACTTGAAAGCATAGCAAAACTCACAGTTCGGAAGACACCAGGAACCCAGATAAGCCACAATGATACCAGATAAATTCACGATTTCCTCCCAACAACTTACTGTGCGCAGCTTCCCTTTTTTAAACACTGTGTTCCTAGCTGCAGCTAATGAAGGGAATCAGGGCCCATTCCTCCCCCATAAGCCACGCAACTCATGTTGCTCCCTTCTCCGTTCCTCCCTGCGTGCCCTAGGATGAAGAAGGAGTGGCCCTGGGTCTTCCTCCAAATTCCCTCTCCCTTGTTCTACCTCTCCCTTGTTCTACCTCTCCCCTGCTCTGCCCAGCCGGACTTTGCCCTTCCCCAGTTTCCTCCACAGCCAATGGAGCCACACTCCCACTCCTTGTCAGCTGTTTGACTTCCCCCTCCGAGTCAGATTCTGACAGGGGCATGATACCTGGTCTGGACTCTTCTTAAAACCTCCAGTGACGGAGAGCGCCCACGATTTTTGGAGGCAAGCTGTTCCACTGGTTAATTGCCCTCACTGTTACGAAGTTTCTCCTTAATGCCAGGGTTGAGAGCAGAATTTCCGTCACTAAAAGAGGCCATGCTCCCAATTCACAATTCTTTCTTGAGTCGCTAGAACGTTAAGTGAATCAAATGGTGGTTAAGCAAATTCTGGCTTCCTCCACTGACTTTGCTGGTGGAAGCCAGCCAGGAAAGTCAGTGTTCCCAGAGGCTGCCACCATCCTAAATACATGCCAGCTGCCAAGGATCATGATTTTGATGCTGCAACTGTAATTAACTAAGTGTAGTTTTTAAAAAGAACGTAGAGAAGAGTTTTCAGCATTGCATTTCATGGGGAAAAGTGTTTTCTTTGCCCTCCAATGCTCAACCTCTTATAACAAGGGAGAATTTATTCGAGCTTCCCTGAAGAGGTCTTTGGCAGATACGTGAGGACTGTGGCCGAAGCTGGCTTGTTCACTTCAGAGCAATCTCAAGCTGAAATGATTTTTCAAGCTTTTGTAGTGGGAAGAATAACGGCAGCTTCGCGTGTACGTTTTAATTTTGCTTAGGAGCGCAGGAGATTTTTGAAGGCTGGTCCTTGCTATAATCTAGACACAATGCTTTTGGCGGTTCCTCTGGGGAATGCTTTTAATAAAAAAAACTTTTAAAGCAAAGGGGGCATAAATTCCGGGGTTTATCCAATATTTAACAATAGGAAAAGTCCCCTTAGGAATTAACAAAGCCAATGGAAGATTTCTTTTTCTTTATGGCTTTTAGGCAGTGAAAATATGCTTATTGCATTTTTAAATGCCTGTTGGAACTGGAGGGAAAACTATTTCCAGTTATTGTACCATAACAATGTCTCTCTTATAAGGGTTGATTATAACCAAGAAAGAGGAGATAAAGGAGCCCAATCGAGAGCTACATTGTGGTGGGGGAAAGGAGGTTTTGTAATTTAACAAAATCCTGCCTCTTTATCAGCAGGATTTCCAGCTAAAACGCATCTCTAATTAACCGAAGCAGATGCTGAAACCCCTCGGTAGAAAACCGTCTCTGAGAATAGAAGAGTCATCCAAGAGAGAATCTTTCAGCTTGACAGCCATGTAAGCTGTCAAATCCCCACATTCTCTCCAAATGCCACCAGTATAAAGGCATAATAATAAAAAACATAAACTACACCAGAGACCTCTCACAAGGAAAGAATATTCCACGCCCTGGAAGCCATGCGCCCAGACTTTCTATACAGGAAGTCCTCAAATTACGGCCAACATTTGAGCCCAAATGATGGGCTAAGCAAGACAGTTGTTAAGTGCATTTTGCTCCATTTTGCCACCTTCTGTCCTGCCCCTGGTGGAGACTGACTCCGAGGGAGAGGAGGAACAGCCAACAGGGAGTGGAAGTGTGGCTCCGGGGGTTGTGGAGGAGGCTGGGGAAGGGCAGAGGCTGGCTGGGCAGTTAAAGGAGGACCCAGGCTCATCCCCTCTCCATCCTCTCCAGGGAGGAGAGGATCAGGGAGAGACATGAATAGCATGGTCTATGGGGGAGGAGAGGGCCTTGATCCCCTTCATGGGCTGCAGCTGTGACAACTGAATAAGAGGACGGACATGCGTACGGGTGAACACTGGAAACAAAGCATGGAAATATCTCTAGTTTATGGTTCCTCTCTGAGTTTGGCATCCTCCCCAGTGTGCGTTCTGTTATCTGTGGACATCCTCCAGCCCTTATCTTGCCTGGTTTTTGTTGTTTTTTTACTCTTTATAATTTAAACAGTATTTCCTCCTTCTTGTAACTGCTTGTGTGGGAGTTTTTAGTCTCCAGTCAAGGATATTTGGAGCTTGGAAGCAAAATGAAGGGGCTTCACCTGTTTTTTGTGACTGTATTTATTTCATATCCCACCCTAGCATAGCTGGCTATGCTGAGAATTCTGGGAGTTGAAGTCCACCAGTCTTAAAGTTGCCAAGTTTGGGGACTCCTGCCCTAGCTGGAGGTCACAACCCAACCACAAGGCTTGCTCCTTCCCAGAAGACAAGTTTGGAGTCTTACCTTAAGGGTCAACCTGACCGTGTTGCACTCCTGCAGTGGGTTCAATTTCAACATCTCCCCGAGGCTGCAGCCAGACGTCTGGTGCTGCAACTCACAACACACGCAGACACTGTCACTGTCAAATTTAATCTGAGGAAGGAAGGAACAGAGGGGGGGGGGGGAGAGGCCATCAGGTCTGGCAAAGATCAGGTCAAGCCAACTGTCAGCGTTCCAATGAAACTCCCCATTCCATTCAGCACCCAGAAACAAAGTTTATTCAAGTAAAAATGTATTCAAGAAGTCATACTGGCACATCTGGGAAAACCCAAATCTGAAGAGTTCTGGGTTTCCCCTTCCCAACAGAAATTCACAAACCCATCCTCTGCACCCACCAGTCCATCCCATGGCCCAATCACCCATCGTCCCAACTGGAGAGATCCCTTTAGTCACTCCTTCCCAGATGCAGGGTAACTTGTCCTTGACTTTATGAGAAGAATGTTGTTGAGTCTAAACCTTCTACCACTCCGTGCAATCCCTCCTCCCAAATTCCGAGGCACCAAAAATGTGGCAGCTTCGAAGCTTCTAAGTAAAATATGCCTTCCAAAGCCGACACCAACATTAACCCTGTTGATGTTGCAGACAACGTTTGAGCAGTCATGACATGGGAGGTCCTTCCTCTTCAGTTGGTTTCCCTCAAAGTAAGCATGGCTTGGAAATTAACCGGGGTTAGGATTTGGGGCTTCTCCCTCTTTTAACATTCTCCATTCTATCTTTGCATTGTTGTAAAATTGCTCAGATCGGACTCCAGCGTCACAAAAATGGCAGGAATAGTTAAAACGAGTTTTAATGGAAGTGATGACTCCACAGAAGAAATTATTATTATTATCTCATTTGCCAATTGCTTACAAGACAATAGGTCTAAGTATAAACATGAGTAAGAATACAGGAAATAGGTACAAATAAATGGGGACAATAGGACAGGGACGGTAGGCACGATGGTGCACTTATGCACGCCCCTTAGGAATGGGGTGAGGTCATTGGTGGATAGTTTGAGGTTAAAGTTTTGGGGGTTAGAGGTTGTAACAACAGAGTCAGGTAGTGCATTCCAGGCATTGACCTCTCTGTTGCTGAAGTCTCACTTTCTGCAATCAAGTTTGGAGAGGTTTACATTGAGTTTGCATCTGTTGTGTGCTCTTGTATTGTTGCGGCTGAAGCTGGAGTAGTCATTGACTGGTAGGACATTGTAGCAGATAATTTTGTGTTTAAGTCCCAAATGCTATGGCCTCCTCTTGTGATTTTATCCTGCCTCTCGTGGTCCAATGTGGAGGACCTCTTTATCTGATGTATCTCCTCCTGCAGCTCGTAGAGATAGACCATTTATAAATCTCACAAATAAATAAATCAATAAAAACAAACAGGGATCTAGTGGCTGACCTGTTGGATGGTGATTTCCTACAGTCTTAATGGGGAATGCGTACAAGATTTTGCAAGTGGAATAGATCACAACGAAGGGATCCTTCTGAGTAGGATCTCAACCAAAGCTAGGGGGAATGAACTGCCTTCAGCCCCGAGCCCCTCCTCTTCAAAGGATTAGGGAATTTCCTAATTTATCATCCAGGTTCGCTCTTGTTCTTTAAAATCACCCGTGTATTTGAGGAAGGCCGCAACGGCTTACTTTAGAGGTACTTAGCCGTTACACAAAATCTCTCCCTTCCATGAGCTCTAAAAATGAATAAACTTGACAGAAATACGCCAAATAAGGATGAACACTTATTTGGTTGGTGTATTGAGACTGCAGCTCCTGCCAGCGTTGATGAACAACAAAATGAGATCTGTCTTATTGGCTCCGTTTATTTCCGTGCTTCTATTTTAAGGAGCCACGCACTGATGCGAGAAGGGAATTGGGGCTTCTGATCTCATTTTATCCCTGGGAGTTATTAAAGAGACAACCACACACACACACACACACACACACACACACACACACACAAAGGAGGAAAACGGGTGTGGGGTCAGGAAGAACATCCCTGGAGGTACACCCCAGAGAAAAGCTGAAAACTTTGCCCCATTTTAAGTCTCTGTTTGCAGACGTTTGAAGTCAAAATAACAGAGTAGCAAAATTGGAAGGGACCTCAAGAGGTCTTCTAGTCCAACCCCCTGCTCAAGCAGGAGGCCCTATACCATTTCAGGCAAAGGGCTGTTCAATCTCTTTTTAAAAACTACCTGTGTTGGAGCACCCACAACTTCTGAAGGGAAGTCGTTTCACGGATTAATTGTTCTAACTGCCAGGAAATATCTCAGAAAATTGAAAACTTAGCAGAAAATTGAGATATACAGTAGTTTAATCATTGGGAAGGGGGAATGTAATATCTTCCTGAGAATTAGCTATCCAAATAAATGAATTCAGAAGGCATTGAAACAAAAGAAATCAGAAGAAGGCAACACATCTAAAAATTATAGAGGTTCTGTCATGTTGTACATGTTCTACGAAATTGGGACATCCAATTACATACCCCAAAATGGACATTGATGCTTGGAAGAAGTGCACCAAATGCCAAATCAATGTGAAAAAGCAGGATATTATTAAACTGCTCATATTGACTAACACATTCTCTGAAAAACCTCCCTCCATACCATGAAGAGGGGAGCAATCTAAAGCTGCAATATAAATGTGTCAGTGACATAGGTATCTTTCATTAGTTTTGCCCTGTTATCTTGGGAAATGAAAGTCAATTGCTCCGAGAACAGCCTTTAATGCCTTGTCTCAAAAGAATAAATAAGGTAGACTGTCAGAAGGATATTAACTTGTCCGGAATGTCCATCCTTCACAGAATAAAGGGAAAAATCATAATTTGAAGATTAAACTCAATCGTAAAGTAAACGGAAGCTCATTTGCAAATTAATTTGGCAGCCCTTCTCTCTCTCTCTCTCTCTCTTTCTTTCTCTCTCTCATCCTCTGCTGAGTTCCAGATAAATCAGAATTTAAGGTGTTCCATAAAGAGCAGTGAGACTGAACGAAATAATTTCAGAAAAAAGGAGGGGGAGGAAAGACAAACCAGATTGATAGAGAAGAGCCTCTTTTCAAAACTTGAATTCTGCAGAGGTGGAAATGTTTGGAAGGCAAAGAATTAAAGGAAAGATGGAAAGGAGGTAGAGAAGGTGGTCACACAACCAGTGGTTGCTTCAACGGTGTCTTAGAGTTCAAGTCTAGAAGGCCAAAGAGTCATCCACAATCAGCAGACCTATCACCCTCTCTTGAAGTCTCTCAACACACCAGCCAAGACATGACCAGGGTTGGTCTAAAGACAAGATCTTTCATATTCCATACTGAATTTCTAACATCCTTTTCCAGGAGTTTCCATTCTGCTAGAACAATGTTTCCAAGCTAACACCCTTCAGGTATCCTGGGATTTCAATGCCCAGAATTGAAAGTCAGCTGGGAGCTGATATGCTAACCCTTCTGAAGGAAGCCAGGAAGCCAGATTAACCTCTCAATTCTGAAAGGGAGTGAGCAAAGAGGAATGTGGAAACTTGCATTTTGACCACTGAGGTATAAACAAATTTGAATTCCCACTGGAAAGCCCGCATGTGTTTTTAGCATGTTTTACTTCAAAACAAATCAGCCATGTGCAAAAAGAAAGAGATGATTTTGATTACTTACCAACTGACACCCTTCTAGAGAGTTCACTAGTTGAGCATTTTGACAGGAGAGAATGGAGCCGGCTAAATTCAGCATCACGCAGACTGCTGACAGCAGCATGAAAAAGGTTATCTGAGGAAGAAGAAGAAGATGAAGTTTGATTATTTTATATTGCAATGATCACCAAGAGCTAAGAAATAAGATATTCTCCTGATGAGATTTGGTATCTACTCTGCTTCTGTATTCATTGTGTTTTGGACTCTATCCTGAAACCATGCTAATATTCAGTTGGGTTCTATCTCCCAACTTAATCGAGAGCAACCTGGCTCAACAAGTGGCCTTCAGGTGGGTTATACATCAACAGCCTTCCAGCAAATACATTAAAGCTGGTAGAGAATCATAAAATTATAGATCTGGAAAGGAACACAAGAGTCATTTAATCCAAAGACTCCAACAGGATACCTGATTGCAGGACATTGTTCTACAGATCTGTAAACCCAACACCATCCATTTATCAACTAGTCATAATATTAGACAGATTATTCTGGGTAATGCATGCACAAAGCAGCATTTCAACCATGTTCAAAACCTTGCAAGCTGAGAGATCTCATGCTCTGTGGAGGAACAGCAGCTTGCTGACTCTACAATAGAGGGAAAAATTGTGCTTCGAGGGGTTTAGGAGGTACTGGCTTCCTCCAATAACCACTTTCTAATAACCAAAGAAACCGCTGTGTCTTAACCCCCATGATCCCTTGGACAGGTCATCTGAGCAGAAAAGACTGCTCAGGGAGGTGGGGGGGAAACCAGGGTCAAGGGTGACGATGAATGATGTGTCTCAGAGTCGGCTACACCCAGGCAGTGCCGGACATGTTAACTCCCAATAAATCCTTTTGAACTTTTGGAAGTTTGGCTCAAGACTCACAATTTAATTGGGGGGGTCACTGCCGGAATCCTGACATAACCCTTATTCTTCCTTTGTTCAATACACCGATTCATAACACTAACCAAAGGAAGGTCTTCGCACAACCTAAACACACACACAAAAAATTAAGATGACCGCGAACCCAACTGAGGATGTTGTGGAAATGCAAACTATGAAGATTTTCACTGATTACGTGCGTTGGGTCAATTGGCTTGTGGCTCTCACTGAGGTTGAAAAGTGTGATTCTAAACACTTTTCTCAGCCCAAAAGAGAGTTCAGAGCAAAGTCAGCACCTGGAGCAGGTCAATATTATAGCTACACTGTATATAAATTGAATAAAGAAATATTCCTATCCTCATTGCCATTCCTAACCCCATGTGAATCTATACATTGAAGAGCTCGCCTCTTTCGCTTTCTACAATTTTTCAGAAACAAATCCTCTCTTCTACAGCGGTTTGCAAAAAAGTTTTGTTCAAGTTTAGAAAAAACAACAACCATGCAACAACATTTCTAATTTCAAGGCTACAAAACATTCAGCACAAATCATGTGTCCCACCCCCCCCCCTGCATTTCTGGAAGCTGAATATTCACCAACTTTCCCGTTGCAAAACCGCACCATAAAATCCAGACACATGAAAGCTACAATAATGCCAGCATTTCATTTACTCCCTAATTTTATCAGGTTTGGGGGTAAGGAAACCATCTCCCCTTCTCTCCCCCCCCCCCCCCCCGGCAGCCTGGACTTGAAAGCCTCTGAAACTTGTCAGATCCTCCCCCGTCCCGAATCGATTCCAAAAATCAGAAGAAAGCTTCATTTTCAATTATCTCCATAATGAAAGAAAACACGTTGAAAGCATATGGGAGCAAAGAGCGCCAGATGGCTTTGGAAGGAAGGAAAGGAGTGAAGCTTTTATCTGCACATCAATCGTTTTGAGCGCCCAGATTCCACAGCCAAGACCGATGTGGAAGATGGATCCTTATCAAACAGTCTACCCAAGAACAGAGCAAGAATCTCACAATGATTGCTTGGAGCTGCCTTGAATTTTGACTTAGCAGAGCTTTGGAAAGAAGGGAGGAGGCTGGATGAAGGACCCATTCTTCCTGCTCCAATTTGTTACCCAAAGGGAGAAGAATCTCACCAAGGTATGAAGTTCTATCAAGCTCTTTGAGGTTGGCCCAAGCTTTTGAATATTTTGAACCGCCTGCAAATTCCCTGGAGTTTTTACCCCCATCACATCTGAAAGGCATTGGAATTAGACTGCAGTTTGTACTTTCTACAACATCTAGAAGATTCCCTACAAGACAGGAATTTTGCAAGACCTGCTACTCCAAACCCTTGGATCTCAGCTGCATGATGTGGCACAGAAGAGGCTACAATGGACTTTATCATGCCACATTCTAGAACAACAACACTTTGCCCCAGGCCTTGTGACCTCTGCTGCAGTGCAATTACTGCCTTCAACACCCACAGAAAGCAGCTGCAAAATGCCACAGAAGCATCCAAACACAAAAATGTGCTTTTAGTTTACTCCTATCACAATGTCCTTTCCAAAACTGTGATGCACAATCAGGTGGCATTGTTGGCAGATCACAGCTGAAGTGCTTCCATTTTTGTCTAGATTTCATCCAAGGTACCCAACTTTTTCAAACAAGAATTAAGGAGGAGTTTCCTGACAGTGAGAACAATTTATCAGTGGAACAGCTTGTTCCAGACATTGTGGGTGCTCCAACACTGGAGGTTTTCAAGAAGAGACTGGACAACCATTTGTCTGAAATGTTACAAGGTCATCTACTTGCAGGGGGTTAGACTAGAAGACCTCCAAGGTCCCTTCCTATTCTGTTAAATGCTCTTATTTGCTTTGCCACTGGGGGTGGCTGAGATTCTGCAGATGGCACCGAGCTCCTTCCTTGAAGAGTTTACATTGTTACGATAGGATTCCTTATCATATTATAAGTCTTAGGATTCCATTTCTAGGTTGATGGCCTCCCTCTTCGTATTTGTGCCATGGTTTGGCCAAGTCACACAAACTCCAAGCAAGGCTGATGTTCCTCTGCAAAGAGGAGGTGTGTCTGAAGTGTACCCCTACCTCTTTGCTGAAATGTGGTTGAGCAGATGTGTTTTAATCACCCCTCGGGACCAACATCCTCACACTCAACATCCTAAACATCCCCATCTGCAGAAGTAGATAGTGCTAGGGAATGTCTCATACTGCAAAATAAACTACACACTTCACATGCCATTAAAGCCAACATGTTTCCCCGATCATAGCTAAGATTGTGTCATCTGTGTTTCAATCATTTCATCTTGAGTAATAAATCAAGGGGAACTAACGTCAGCCTGCCTCTTCAAGTTATTCACAGGAGTGGGACCACACGGTTAGACATTCGTATCCAGAAACAATCAATGTCAAAACATCTGTTATTCAAAGCACATTTTCAATGATGCAACCTGATGATTTTGCCTCCTTCGCCATACCATCTCAACGTCTGCCTTCATGGTTAAATAGGACAGGCTACACAGCTTGCTCAAGAGTCATTTCCTACTTATCACTGCCACGATCCTTTCCCATCTCACCACAGAGTGTGGGCTGTGGGGTTTCAGATGTGGTGCTCTGAGGAAGCATTAAAAGAGTCCAGGATGCTTTGTCTGGAAATGATGATGGGGAGACGCAACTGTTGCTTCCAGTCATCACTTAGAATGGTGGTTTTTTTTTCTTTCAAACTTGGCCACTTTAAGATGTGTGGACTTCGACTCCCAGAATTCCCCAGCCAGGATGGGCTCCCCAATGTTTCAAAAGACAATTTACCTCCAAAAGGTAAGGCTTCAAACAATGGCTGGACATTGCAAGCCATGGTCAATTCTTCCAGGCTGAGCTCTTGGGGGGGGGGGGGCTCTGGGGTTGCTCTCCGTGGTACTGAAACCTAAGCCCACTCTGGACTGGAACAATTTCATTTTCCTTCAGTCGACTCCTTCTTGCCACATATTTTTTTAAATATATTTTTACATATTTTTTTTTTATCATCACAAGTGAAGTTTGATTGATTTAATGACATTGAACCCCGATGTAAATTCATCATTAAAAACATAACATCCATACTTAAAACAAAATATTTAAAAAAAAAACGAAACCCAGATTTACAGTGAAATAAGTCCACATGCTCTTTTAAAGAGGACGGTTTTTATTCTCTTCTGAAAAATAATCAGGACAGAGGCACAGCTAATCTTGGACAGCCATCTCTGTTTGGGAAGGGGAACTACTACTATGAAAGCCAACCTCTGAGCCCCAGTGCCCTTGTTAACTTTCAAGGTGGATATCTGGGTCATCTTCTCCCTCCTGGATTATGTAGGTCAGGCAGAACCTACTGAAAGGGGACAGTCCTGAAGGTAACAACCATGTCCTAGAAAAAGCTTTCTAGTTGATCAAAACTTTGGACTGGGCCTTAATGCCTAAAGTTCCTCAGAACAGGGATTATTTGGCTCAGTTGAGTAATACCACATACTACACCAGTTGTAACTTCCAAGTTCACTTGGAAGGGCGGCCTCAGATGATGCAATTCCCTGGTGGGATTATGACCAGCTAGATAGATACTTGGAGATACTGAGAACCTTCTACGCTGACCTGCGGGTGTCACGCTGGGTTATACGACAACTTTGTAGTGGAGGACAATAGCCACCCACTAAGTTCAGAAGGCAAATCTCAATAGCCTGCCCACCAAGCTTTTATCATTCCTCCTGGCGTTACCAACAATATAACCTACACAAAAGGATGTGAGGTACAGTCAGCCAGTCCCTTCGAAGATCACATCCATAATGCATGCCAAGTGTTTTGACTGGTGTTCAGAAGTTCAGTCATTATTCTGAGCACAATTCCTGACGCAACTGTGTGTGGCCGCCTTAATATTCTCTTTCATGCATGGCTTCTGTGATGACAATCCCCCTCATTGGGTGGAGGAACAAAGAGAGACTCCAAAATAAACATGAGATCATCTGAGTTAAATAGCAAGAGAGGTGGGCCACCTGAAGCACGTCCCACTTTGATGAAGACTGCTGGGGAAAAAAAACCCACCATGGAGCACGGAACCTCCCATCATTTCTTACCAAATATATCTATTTTTTCCCCTTCTGAAACCTTGCAGCTCCTGGGTTGTTGGTTTTTTTTTTTTTTTTGGTCTTCTAAGGATCTTTTTGTCTCGCGCTTCGTCAGTTTCT